ATATATATATATATATCTGGAAGAGACCAGAGCAGACTCAAACCACCCAAAAAATCCATGACCTATGGAGTACATGTGAACACACAGATTAGGGGAGAATGCTAAAATCTTCCCACATTTGAGGAACGTACAGTCTGGAAAGCTCAGAGAATCTCAGAATAAGCACAGAAAGATCCAAAATAGCCACATTATTATCAAGTTGTCCAATGTCCAGGACAAAGATAAAATTTTGAAAACAGCAAAAAAAAAAAAAAACTACTGGCACATCATATACAGGGAAAATAATAATGTTAGCAGATCTCTCATCAAAGACAGTGGAGTCTACAAAACAACGGAGTAATAAATCTAAAGTGCTGAAAGAAACCAGTATTATTACCCTCATATAAAAATTAGTGAAAGGCTCAACGATATTCCCTTGTAGGCAGATACCACATTTTCTTTATCTATTCATTCATCAATGGACATTTGAAGAAGGAAATCTTACCGCATGTGACAAAAATGAATGAATCTGGAGGACATTGTGCTAAATGAACTAAGCCAGTCACAGAAGAAAAATATCTCATGATTCAACACCTATAAGGTATCTATCATTGTCAATCTCATAGAAACAGAGAGCAGAATAGGGATTCCCAGATACTGAGGGGTGGGAGAAATGGAAAGTTGCTGTCCAGTGGGTATAAAATTTCATTTGTGCAAGATGAATGTTCTAGAAATCTGTAAAACATAGAGCTTATAATTAATAAAATTGTACATTTAAATTTTTAAGTGAGTAGATCTCATGTTAAGTGTAATTACTCCAATAAAGAATTCTTTATATTCTCATTACTTTTATAAATAAAAATTATTTTTAAAAAATAAAGAATAAAAAGAAATCTTTATATTCTCATTTTTTTAAATTAATATTGATGTTTAAATATAAGTATTGGATTTTCTTGGACCAGTTGGAGGAAACTTGGACATGTAGGAAAGAAACCATATCAGCTCAGTCACTGTTTTTATTGCTATAGTGATAGCAGTTTCTTCAATATAAGTCCCTTTTAGCCACTTGCAGCACTCCTTTGCTACCCTGTTCATTCTCATAATTGGCTAAACCACCTTCCATTAGGGGCAAGGATGTTCTCTGGGTGCTGCTTTCTGTAGGTTTTTCCACATGATGCCCACCACACAGTCACAGATATTTGCAGCAATTCTGCTAGGTTTGAATGCCCCCTGCTCCCTGCTCATTTACATCTTAAAGGGAATTTGCCAGAAATCCCCAGGTCTTTCTCACTAATGGTATAAATTGTGGAGATTCTTTTCATTGTTGTTGCTTATTATTTTTAAGTGAGCAGGTGAAGCTGTGATGCTTTGCTGTGTTGCTCCTCACGAAAACTGAAACACTGAGTACTGTTTAAAATGACAATTATAATCAAAAGAACGACAAAAAATACCACTATTTTGAAGGAAAAATGGTGTACCAAAAAACAAGGTGGGACTCACTTTTTATTTAGGGAAAAAACAGTTAATGTCTAAAATTAAAATTTATTTAGCAACATGGAAGCAAGCACCAGAAGAGATGAAAACTCAAATTGATAGCAGTTATTTGCATGTGGGAAACAAGTATTGTGGTGGGGAGTGGTATAATAGAGCTTTCAAACTTTCTTCATCAGCTAAAGATTAACATAATAAAAAATCAATTATATTTTTATCAACATTAAATCTAACAATGAAAGTTTTCAAATCATAATAGAATAAGAAAGAATAATATACTTAGGAGTAAACTGAATAAAAGAATAAACAATTTGTATAAATGGGGCCTACAAAATTTTACTGAGAAAAATTAAAGACATAAACAGATCCTTTATGTTCATAAATTGAAAGTTTCAGTGGAGTTAAAGTAGCTTTCCTTCCAAAACTTGTCAAATTCATAGACATTTTTTTTTTTTTTTGAGACAGAGTCTTGCTGTGTCTCCAGGCACTAGGCTGGAGTACAGTGGCATGATCTCGGCTCACTGCAACCTCCGCCTCCCGGGTTGAAACAATTCTCCTGCCTCAGCCTCCCAAGTAGCTGGGACTACAGGCGTGTGCCACCACACCCAGATAATTTTTGTATTTTTTAGTAGACACAGGGTTTTACCCTGTTGGCCAGGATGATCTCAATCTCTTGACCTTGTGATCCACCTGCCTCAGCCTCCCAAAGTGCTGGGATTGTAGGCGTGAGTCACCAAACTCGGTGAGCTGACTTAAAAAGATATGGAAAAATGATTCTGAAAAAGAACAAAGCTAGAGGTCTTTGATTTCAGAACTTATTGTAAAACTACACTGATGAAGACAATATGATAGTAGAATAAGGACAGGCTTACATGTAAATGAAAAATAAATGAGAATTCAGAAATAAACCCTTATATATTTCTGGTCAATTGATTTTTAACACAGATGCCAAGACATTCAATAGGTAATGGAGGGTTCTTTTGCTAAATGGTTCTGAGATAATTGAATAGCCAACTTTAAAAACAGTAACAACAACAAAAATCTTCACACCCCTTTCTGAGATTATACATGAAAATTAGAATGAAATACATTTTAGGCATAAATGTAAGAACTCATATTTTCGAACTTCTGGACAAAAACATAGGTAAAGATAGTCCATAGGCAGGGAGAATATGTTTGTAAATAACATATCATGAATAACATATTCAAAATATTTAAAGAACACTTACAACTTAATAAGACAAACAACTTCCACAAGAAAATGGACAGAAGGTTTGAGAAGGCATTTCACCATAGGTATACAAGTAGCTGATGTATGTGAATGAAAAGGTGTTTCATATCATTCCTTAGTAAACAATGTACATTAAACTACAATGTAATAATGCTACATGCATGATAGAAGATTTATAGCAAAGAAGGCAATAGCAAGTACGAGTACTGGCTAGGATGTAAAGACATTGGAACCTTCATATATTGTTGGCAGAGATGTAAAATTGCATAGTCATTGTGACAAACGTTTTATTAGTTTTTTAAAGCAGGGTTTCCCAACCCACAGACCATGAAGTAGTACTAGTATTTGGCTTGTTAGGAACCTGACTGCACAGCAGGAGGTGAGCAGTTAGCAAGATAGTATTATTACCTGAGCTCCACCACCTGTCAGGTCAGTGGTGACGCTGGATTCTCAGGGGAGTGGGAACTCTATTGTGAACTGTGCATGTGAGAGATCTAGGCTGCATGCTCCTTATGAGAATCTAATGCCTGATGATCTGAGGTGAAACAGCTTCATACAAAAACCATCCCCCAACTGTCCCTGCTCCATCAAATTTTGTGGAAGACAAATTTCGATGGGAAATTGTCTTCCACAAAACCAGTCCCTAGTGCCAAAACTTTGGGGACTGCAGCCTTAAAGTTAAACATAAATCTGTTCTAAACCCAGCAATTCTACTCCAAGTATTTTACCCAAGAGAAATAAAAACATATGTCCACACCTCAACTTGTAAATAAATATTCTTAGTAACATAATTCATGTCAGCCCAAATCTGGAAACAATCAAAATATTCATCAGTTGTTGATTTAATAAGCAAAATGTTGTATACTATATAATGAAATACTGTTCAGCAATAAAAAAGATGAAATAGTGAACTCAAATAATGAACCTCAAAAACATACTAGATTCAAAATATTTTGTATTGTATGATTTAAATTATAGAAATATACAAAAAGACAGAATATATATGCAGACTGAAAATCAGACCAAGGATGCCTAATTAATTTAAAATGAATAATAGAAATTAATTTCAAATGGCATCAACATAATTTTTAGAGTGATGGAATTATTGAAAAATTGGATTGCAGTGATGGTGGCAAAATTTCACTAAAATTATTAAATTGGAAATGACACTGGCAGAATTTTATGAGGTATATTATATCTCAATAAGCATAAATAATTTGTAAAAAGTGGTTATGTGATTATTTTATGTCAGACATTATTGGAAGAAATGGAGCACTAAAGTGGTTGAATATAAAGCTAAAGAGGAAGGCAAAAGACAAATTTTTAATGTCAGGTGCTATGCATTGACTGATTTTGTACCCCAAAAATTCATATATGTAATCCTAATCTCCAGTGTTATAGGATTGGGCAGTGGGACTCTGGGGTGTAATTAGGTCATTAAAATGGAGCCCTCATGAATGAGATTAGTGCCCCTTTAAGAGGACAGAGGAGAGAGATGATCTCTCTCAAGGCCATGTGAGGATACATCAAGAAGGCAGCCATTCTGTAAGTAAGAGATAGGGATTCAACATACACCAGGTCTGCTGGCACCTTGATCTTGTGCTTCTCAGCCTACAAAACTGTGAGAAATAAATTTTTGTTGTTTTAACCACCTAGTAAAATTTGCTTTATGCCCCAGATATGATTCTTTTATTTGTAAACATTCTAAGTGCACTTGAAAATGTGAAAATGCATTCACAGACTTCAGGTCTGTATTCTATATCTGTCAAGAAGCTTAATTTAGTTAGTCAAAATGATTCTTACTTAAAAAATGTTTACAAAAAAGTAAAACAAACCAAAAATCTATGATTCTCCCATTATACTTAAACTTTAGCTATTCCAACTGCCTAGAATGCCTTCCTCTACTAATATTTATCAAAATTCTCCTAGTCTTTTCTAACTCAATTTTTCATCCCTTCTAGAGGGCTTTTTGTTTCCTCAGTTGGAATACTCTTTTTATTTTCTAAAATCTGTAGCACTTTATTTATATCTTTATCAAATATTGTAGATATTTATGTGTCTATTATTCACTTATGAGATTACAGCTTCCTGAAGTTCTGGAATTGGAAGAATTGATGTTTAATTCCCAGAAATTTATTTATCCTTGCCTTGAGTATGCCTCAAAAAATATTTTTATGGTTGAATGAATATAATACAAAAGACTAAGGTCTAAGATGGAGATCAATAATTCTACTTACATGTTTTAGCCCATTTTTATAGTGTAGCCTCTTTCTTTTTTTTTTAATAAAATAATTTTTTTTGGGGGGGAGAGTGAACGCAGTCCCCCACTACCACAAATCACACAGTCAATTTTCACACATTTGGGGAAATCACAGAGGTCAGCACATCCTGAGTGCAATGGATAAGCCTCACCCTGGAAAAACCACCTTCATGATAATGGTATATCCCCTGTCAGGTATAGTGTAGTCTTCTTATTCCCTTTTCTCATCTTGATAAAATATTAACTTTATTACTTAAAAACTGGTTCTAACTTATTGAATTCCTTTTTTGCCTTAATTAAATCACAGTTGTGTAACTCAACTATGTATATGTGTGTATTTGAGTTGAACTGCCAGTAAAATAAACTAGAGAACATTAAACAGGTCACATGTAGGGATCCATGAGCCCCTCATGTTGGGTGCCAGAATGTAGGGAATCATGAGCCCCACGTTGGGCACCAGAATGTAGGGAACCAGCCCCATATCACCTGTGGGTACCCAGTGTTTGGTGGCAACAAAGGAATGAGAAAAAGACAGATTAAAAGAGATAGTGGGACCAGGGGGTCATCACTCATTACTTTGGAGGAGACAGTGAAGGCCCCAAATTCTGATCATCCACACTATTTATTGGTTACAATCACTTTGATCTACAGGGTAGGGGTGGAGTGATGGTGGGGAGAGGGTGATGGTGGAGTGAATCAGTGAGCCAGAACTGAATCAGTGAGATGGAACTGGTGTATCATTCTAAAGATTGATATCAGTGGCAGTTTGGGAGTTTCACAGAACAAGAACATGTGGTTATCTTTAGTTTATTATCTATGTACAGCTGATGGAATGCAGGCCTTACAAGGAGCCTACAAGTTTGGCTACATCATAGTGCTACAAAAGGGTTTACGTCCTTGAACACGATGTTTATGGTACCAGAGCCTAGGTCACCCTGCACTGGAACATGAGGCGTGGAGAGGCCTTCCTCCTCAGAGGCCTCCTGCGGCCTTCCGCAGTTTGTTGTTCCTTGTTTATATGTTACTCATAACCAATTTATGTAGGCACTCTGTAAGTCTTTTCTCCTTTGCAGCTTTCCTGACAGTCACACAGCTTTGTAAAAAGTCATATGTAAAGCTCTAAATGTTACAGCATTTTGTTAATGAATTTAATGACCTAATGAGAAAAGAAAATGGAACAAATGAATATATTGCCATGATGAAGTCTGTAAATGCAATGGAGATCAGTAGAGCAGAGGGACAGGACCTATTTATATAATTACAGGGGCTCACATACACCTTAATTTTTAATCTAAGAAAATCTTTTAGGTAGAAAAGCCCTGCTATCCATAGTCAGATGAAACCCATGCTTGAAAAAGAGAATCTATTAGTTAAAATGCTAACATTAAAATCTGCCCTTTTCAAATTTTTTGAATCATTAGGAAATACTAAAGGAAAACGGTTCTGCATGAAAGTAAAGTGCACATTAACTCAATAATTCATTTTATAATTAACTTATTGAAGTGGTTTAGAACATTTAAGTCCTCAATTTTTTCCATTATGCTTTCATATTCCCTAGAATTTGAATAGGTAAGCTGAGATTTTGAATTCCACACAACCTTTTGGCTGGAAATGTCATAAAGGGTGTTTAAGATCCCAATTATGCCAAGGAACCTTAATAATACTACAAACTGAATATTTAGTCATTAATTCTGTGACATCAAAGTACAACCTAGTGTAATTTTTATCTGTGGAAAGTGTACAAGAGCAGACAAAGCTGTAGCCAACCCATATTTAACATCATCTCACCAAAGCTCAACTCCATTTCAGTGGAACAAAGAAAATTTTCAGTCAAGGTTGAGATGTTAAAATTTCACCATTCCAAGCCAGATAATCCAAATACGAAAACTTATAAAGTGTAGTTGACCATACAAAACATAACAATGAGAAAAGAGCTCAAGAAACAAATGGAATCTTTGAACAAACTGTTATTCCAGGAAACATGGAAACAAATGAATACAAATAAGCACCACTGCTCTGAAAGGACCTGAATCAAAAAGCAGACTTGAGGGAAATGTCGTATAATTTAAACCACTAAACCAATTGTTGAAGAGTGAAAATAAAACTTGTGTGTGTGTGTGTAAGATCATACATTAATATGTGCAAATCAAAATTGGCCCATTTTGCTATCGAGCTTGCAATTTTCATTTTATCTTCAAAGTGTAGAACCATAGATACTATGTGTAATGGCCAACGTTGGACAATATGTTTTATTTATTTATTCAAACAGAAAATGCTTAAATTCATTTAGTACTTTCTGTTTCTCTGATCCTGACCTTGTTATTGTAACTAGATATAAGGAAATTTAAAATGCACCTGCTGTCTTTTGGTAATGCAAAAAACAGGCATGTTTAACAGAGAATTATAAAACTCTACTGTGCGGGAGAGAGATCCAAGATGGCTGATCACTAGCAGCTCAGGATTGTAGCTCCCACTGAAAGAGCAGAGAACGAGAGGACGTCACACTTTCAGATCAATTTTTGTTGCTCATGCACCAGGAGATTCCCAGCGGAGGAGCCCTACGTGTGGCCAGCGAGACTCTTGAGGCCGGTGAGGCGGTTTTGCCGCTGCCTTGGAGCGGCAGTTCTTGGTGCAGAGTCAGAAAAGCACCATCAATCTTAAAGCTGCTGTTTTGGCTGGCACAGTGGGTTGCTCAGATTCTAGCGCCGGGAATCAACAAGTTGGATGTCCGTTCAGAAACCCAACTATAAAGACGGTAATTAAAAAGACCACAGATGGATAAATCTATAAAGAAGGGAAGAAAACAGCCTAAAAAGGCTGAGAATACCC